AATGTAACCATTAACGTTTCGATATTTCAAAAATGTTGTTAAGATCAAATCTAATAAATAGTTTTTCAATTGATGTTTGAAGTAACTTATGAATTTCAAATAAGTCTAACGAACACCGTATAAATTGTTAAGGTTTTAATGGACGTATTGTGAAATGATTAATTTTTGGTCGAGTAAGAACCCCTTAGGTGTCACTAATTTTTTGTTTTGAAAATTTTTCAAATACTTATCGGTTCGGGTCTTGATTTGGATATTATAAATAAAAGGTCAAAAGTGTCGAGTCCTGTTAGAATCTGGATGTATCGTTTTATTTGAAATTCCAACTCTTTAATCGATGGTTTATGAGACGATAAATGTGTAAGTTAACTCATTCATCATATAAACGAGGACGAACGTTGAATGATCATATAAAATAAATTTGGATGATAAGAAAAAACCTAATTAAATGAGACTTTAATTCATATATATTTAAATTAGAAATGAATTGATTTCATATGAGTTATTGAACCAATATTATTATGATTAAATATATATGACATACAAATATAATATAATATTAGTTTTTAGTTTTTTAGTATAAAGATGACAAAACATATACTTTTAGAATTTAGAATGTAATGTGACAAATAATAAAGTCATATGATTAGTATTGTATTTCATTAATTTGACTAAATTAAATAGATATCTATAAAATTTAAATATAGGTGAGATTATACAAATTTAATATTTTACCAAAATTTAAATACGGGTGAGAATTTATAGATTTAATAATAGACCAATATTTTATTTTGAAGTGTTAATAATCTAAATACATTATTATTGGATTTTTAACATCAAATTTAGATTATTGTTTAAAATTGTACTTACGAGATTATCGATAGTCATATTTTTTAAGTAACTATCGGTTTGCCAAAAGTGAAACTTTTTAATTGAATCGTAAAATTTTAAAAACTACAAATAGAGAGATCTTCATATCCTCTTTTTAAATAAAGATTTCATATTTGTTAGAATTAAATATATATCTATAAAACTTAAATACTGATGAGATTATATAAATTTTGCATTATATCATTATTTTATTATGAAATATTTTTTTAAATTAAACACATTATTATTGCATTAATAACACCAACTAAATTTATATTATTGTTAAACTCCAATATTCCACATTCAACTATTGATTCTATACTATAATCTTGGACTGGGCGTTTCGGTTCGGTTCTTCGGAACCAGACCGAACCGAACCGTTAAAACATATTTTTCCCGACCCGAAACCGTTGTTATTTCCCGAACGGTACCATTTTTAGAGAACTGAATTTTTTCGGCACCGAACCGAACCGAACCGAACTTTAAAAATTCCGAAAAACCGAATATTTTTTAAAGGAAATCTATTATTTTTTTAATAAAACCCGGAACCGAACCGAACCGATACCGAAACCGAACCGAACCGAATACAATAAATAATCCGATTGGTACCTATTTTTATAAAACCGAAAGAACCGAACCGATTTATTCCGTCCCGAACCCGAACCGTTTCCCGAAACGCCCACCCCTACTATAATCCATAAAACATAAATATGTAATTATTTAATAACCACTCTTGAAAAAAAAACATCATCATGTTATCTCGAGATTTTTAAAAAAAATTATTTTGATTTAATAATATAAATTAATCTTTATTCAACTATATAATTTATATTAATATCTAAATATATTTGTTCATTTTATTTTATTTATCTTCGTTTGGTTACTAAATTAAGATACTTTCTCCGAAGAAAAAAAATATTACGATAACTCATCTTTTCAAATAAAAATATTTTTCAATAATTTTAATAATATAAGATTTTTTGTTATTTATTATTTGGAGACTGAATATTTTTTTTGTTCACATAAAAATATAAATTAGAAGTGAATTGATTTCATACAAGTTGTTAAACCAATACTATTGTGATAAAATAGAAGTGGATTGATTTCATGTGGACTGTTGAAATAATATTATTGTTATAAAATATATATAGCACATAAATATTATATAATCTTAGTTTTCAGTTTTTTTGATATAAAGAGTTAAAAAAAATAATATACATATATAGAATGTAATGGGGCAAATAAAAAAAGTCATAAGAATAGTATTTTATTTCACAATTTTGGTTAAATTAAATAGAAATCTAAAAATTTTAAATACTTGTAAGATATATATAGATTTGACATTATATCAATGTTTTATTGTGAAGTATTACTAATCTCAATCGATTATTATTTGATTTCTAACACCAACTTATGTATATAATTGTTTAAATTGTATTTGACGCACTCTACGACTACCACTTTTTTTTGCACCTCTCGGTTTGAAAAAAATGAAACTCTTTCGTCGAGTTGTAAAATTTCTAAAAACATTTTTCTAATATTCTATATTTCAACCCTTAATTTTATATTATAATCCACGAAAATACAAATATAGAAGATATTCACAATCTCTTTCCAAAAAAAAATATCGTTATTTCGACATTTTCAAAAAATATTTATCATTTTGATATACGAATATGAATTATAAATTAAAAAATTAATATATTTAATATTAAAATTAATAATAAATTATTTTAAAATTGATATGTATTTGTAGTCCGCGCGATGCGCGGATTTACTAGAGGTTTGGTATATACGGTTTTTAAATACGACTATTGGAATATTGGAATATACGGTTTGTGTTTGTGTTTCATATATTGAAGTCACAGTTTAGATATGAATATCTGAATATGAATGAAATCTGGATCAAATAAAAAGTCGTATTTAAAAACCGTATATTCCAATAGTTTTTTTTTATGACGATGGGAACCCGCCCTCGACCCTTCGGGTCGGACATCGCAATGCTTCACAACCCGGAGTTAACAGCCCAACAGGTCGGATGAATGACACGTTGTCGCGGACGATAAACCCAACGGCTCGACGCAACAGCCGGCAAGCCACGTCAAGCAGGTAAACCAGCTCGGAGCTAACAGCCCAACGAGCTGACCGGCTCAAGGGAAAGCTTGACAGCTTGACATCAGGAGGAATCGAACCCCCCACCTCTCACAATCTCGAATAGAAGTTGGGGTTGTCATTTGCTAACTAAGCTGGGGACTTCCCCTTGTATATTCCAATAGTTGTAGATAGTGTGTTTGAATGCCCGGATTCCTGGTCCAAGCTGTTCCTAGAATGCACTTCCGTGGATTTAGCTATAGAGGACGTGATATTTTCATTGGATGAATGGGTACAAGAAGGGGTCATACCCTTTGACGAGTACTTGAAGAACGTGAGATTGTTGCAGGCTCAAGTAAACGCCATCGCAGCTAAGTGGCATTTGTGTTGACTAATGCTCCTTATACTCTCATTTGTTTTCTTCCGAGGTTAGATATACATGTGAAGTGACATCTTTGCGTCATTACAGCTTTATACTGTAAGAAAGTCCATTGTAATGTGTACATACCATAAGATTGATGCTTTACCTAGCTGTCTTGAACCGGCCGGTGCTTGCTGTGGTGCGGTGCTTGATGAACCTGAGTTATGGTCATCGATGATTAATTTCTTTTGTCGTCATTGATATCATGAGGAATATATTACAGATATAGGGAGTGGATACTTGTCAAGTATAGCCAGTGATCCCACAAATATAACTTGTTTAGTGTGTAGCCTGGGCAAATCTCTTCTTGCAACTCTGGTTTTATGGTGGACTTCTATTGTACATTCTTTGTCATAAAAATATTCTATTTTTCATTCTTGAAGTTGCCAATGGACACACCTCATGCAAGATGTCAAGGTTTTGAGGCCATTAGAACTGAGTTTCTTCTATAATGGATCAGATTCTTATCAAATAACATCACTGTGATTCCATACCAAATACTTATCTTGTGTAAGGCGCGACCTGCTCCATGGTCCGTGAATTACTACTACTCCCTCTTTGTCTCGCAAAGCCATTGCAGTGAGGATACAAGAACACATTTTCTTGTTGCTCATCTTTCTCTTTTGAGTTCTCGAGACGAAGAACTCACCAAGGAGGAAATACCCAAAGGCTCTTGATGTTTTTGCCCATTGATTCCAAGTTTGGAGAGATTGAACCTCGTCTTGTTCATCTTTTTTCAGTTAAATTTTACTTTCATTAAATCTTGGCTCGTGAGATGTGTTTTGTCTAATTCAAAGGAACTGACTTTTACCTGAGACATGTTCATGTCACTGCCATTCTCACATATCTTCTACAATAAGAAACGAACTCAGCCATTAATGATAATGTCTTCTACTTCAGAGAACGAATCGATGTCCTTTTCCGGCGAATTTGTCTCTTAGCGGCAAAAGCCAGTACACAAAAATCTGGAGAAAAACCCGCAAGACGATGAACAGAGAAACAACAACGATATGAGCTCTCAACTGGTGCAGGCTTCTCCAATTTCTCCGCCGTTGCCAAATCATCATCATCATCGTCATTTCCTTTCTCAAAGAACATACATTCCTTCCAATGTCTACGAGCACCCAACTGCTCTCCTCCTGGAGCAATGCTCTTCTCTGCAAGAACTTCGTCAAATCCTCCCTCTCATCTACAAGAACGGTCTTTTTCACGAGCACTTGTTTCAGACAAAGCTTGTCAGCTTGTTCTGCCGTTACGGCAGCTTGTCCGAGGCTGTCCGTGTTTTCGAACCGATTGACGACAAGCTCGACGTTCTTTATCACACCATGCTCAAAGGGTATGCTAAAATCTCGGATTTGGATGACGCTGTGAAATTCTTTGTCAGAATGAGGTATGACGATGTTGAGCCCGTTGTGTATAGCTTCACTTATCTGTTGAAAGTCTGTGGAGATGAGTCGGAGCTTAGGAGGGGAAAGGAGATTCATGGGCAGTTGGTGAAGAGTGGATTCTCTTCGAATTTGTTCGCCATGACTGGGCTTGAGAATATGTATGCAAAGTGCAGGCAGATATACGAAGCTTGTAAGGTGTTCGATAGAATGCCTGAGAGAGACTTGGTTTCTTGGAACACCATGGTTGCTGGGTATTCACAGAATGGTTTTGCAAGGATGGCGTTGGAAATGGTTTCTCGAATGTGCGTGGGGAATCTGAGGCCTAATTATATCACTGTTGTTTCTGTTTTGCCTGCTGTCTCGAATTTGGGGTCTTTGAATATTGGAAAGGTGATCCATGGATATGTTGTCAGGGCTGGATTTGATTCTCTCGTGAATATCTCGACGGCTTTAGTTGATATGTATTCAAAGTGTGGATCTTTGGCCACTGCTCGACAGCTCTTTGATGGGATGTTGGAAAGAAATGTCGTTTCCTGGAACTCGATGATCGATGGGTATGTGCAGAATGAGAACCCTAAGGAAGCGATGATGATTTTTCAGAAGATGTTGGACGATGGGGTGAGACCAACTGATGTCTCTGTCATGGGAGCTTTGCATGCTTGTGCTGATCTCGGGGACCTCGAAAGAGGGAGGTTCATTCATAAGTTGTTAGTTGAGTTGGATCTCGATAGAAATATTTCGGTAGTGAACTCTTTGATATCCATGTATTGCCGGTGTAAGGAAGTCGATATTGCAGCTTCTATATTTGGGAAATTGGAGAGCAGAACACTTGTATCTTGGAACGCGATGATATTAGGTTTTGCACAGAATGGTCGTGCTATCGAAGCTATGAATTGCTTCCATGAGATGCAATCTCGGAACATAAAACCGGATACATTCACATTTGTGAGCGTCATCACTGCTCTAGCAGAGTTGTCAGTCACTCGTCAGGCAAAGTTGATGCACGGGCTTGTGGTCAGAAGTTGTCTCGATAAGAACGTTTTCGTGATGACAGCTCTAGTCGACATGTATGCCAAATGCGGAGCTATTACAACCGCGAGAATCATCTTTGACATGATGAATGAGCGTCATGTGACAACATGGAACGCGATGATAGATGGATACGGGACACACGGTATCGGCAAATCTGCTGTGGAATTGTTCAAAGAAATGTGTAAAGGCACCATCAAACCAAACGGTGTGACGTTTCTCTCTGTGATCTCTGCTTGCAGCCACTCGGGTTTGGTGGAGGAAGGTCTTAAATACTACCAAATGATGAAGGAAAACTATTGCATAGAACCCACGATGGACCACTATGGAGCCATGGTTGACCTTCTGGGTCGAGCTGGACGGTTAAACGTAGCCTGGGACTTTATAATGAAGATGCCTGTTAATCCAGCTATCAATGTATATGGAGCCATGTTGGGCGCTTGCCAGATTCATAAAAACGTCGAGTTTGCAGAGAAAACGGCTGAAAAACTGTTCAAATTGAATCCGGATGATGGCAGGTACCATGTACTTCTTGCAAATATATACCGCACTGCTTCGATGTGGGAAAAAGTAGGACAAGTGAGAGTGTCGATGTTGAGACAAGGGCTCCGTAAAACACCCGGCTGTAGTATGGTCGAGATAAAGAACGAGGTTCACAGCTTTTTTTCCGGGAGCACGAGGCATCCCCAATCCCCGAAGATTTATGCTTTTCTCAAGAAGTTGATGAACGAAATCAAGGGCTCGGGATACGTACCCGACACGAATTCAGTCCATGATGTCGAACATGATGTCAAGGAGCAGTTGCTGAATAGCCATAGCGAGAAGCTGGCTATAGCATTTGGGCTACTGAACACAAGCCCGGGCACGACCATTCACGTGAGGAAAAACCTGAGAGTTTGCAGAGATTGCCACAACGCCACCAAGTACATTTCCCTCGTGACTGGCCGGGAAATCATTGTAAGGGACACTCAGCGGTTTCACCATTTCAAGAACGGTTCCTGCTCATGCCGAGATTACTGGTGAAACAGCGACGAAACAGATCGAAGATTGGATATGAGGCAGAGAACCACACATATCTGGTCGATCCATTTCTAAATGAGAAGGTATATATAATCAAGTTCATGAAAGAGATAGATCAGTTCTTTGTAACATTAGTCATGTAATGTCAGGGGCCAAGGTTAAACCAAGGATTTCAAAAGCAACCTCTAGGAAAGACCTCAAGTTTCTCATCTTTGCAATTTGATTGCACGAGCAACAGTTGGAATTCTGTTTTCTTTTCTTCAGGGGTGTTCAAACAAACCAAATCGGTCTGGATAAAACCAAAGTAAACCGAACCCAATTCTATTTCAATTATTTACTATAGCAATTTATTGGGACTGTGGGACTGACATTAATCCAAAGAACATAACAAACTTTTGCATTTAACTGAGATAGCCAAGACAGAGGTATCCAACCCAATTATTTCAAATACCAAAGAAAACCGAACCCAAGTCTAACAAAATTTGATTTCAGTGTATTAAGTAATATTTTATTGCGATTGAACTAAAACCGAGAACCGAACCGGAATCAACATTCACTTTTAATTTTGATTGAAATGAACCTAACCAAACCGAATATTACTTTTAACTTAGGTTTCTTTGACCCGATCAATCCGGATACTGAATAACACACACCAAAATCAAACCTAAAACCGGATTGTGCTTCAAAACACCACCATTTTAGGGTTTAACATCAAATGAGAGTTTCAGACAATATCCAGTGATCCTTAAAACCCTAAATAATACTACTGATGTTCTGACCAAAATCCGACAGGTCCCAATGTTTAACCTTTTGCGCTACAATGGCGCAGACATGTGATTTTCAACTGTTTCTCTACAACAGCCGATTTCAGCCCCTAATTTTCACCATTTGAAATCCATCATCTGTACAGTGTTCCCCCCAAAAAATATATAGAATCAGATGAACTTCTTTGTCTTCCTTGAGAATCCTAGACTATACCGAAAAACCGTTCTCGAGTTACTTCCACCACCAAAACTGTCGAAACAAATATACTTTCCTCATCCGCGGATTGTACGCCAAGAAAGCCCGAGCTTTTATTGGATCCGCATTCAGATATTCGAATGCATACATCTGTTTAGCCTCGTCCAATCCATCGATCTCCATCACAGCTTCTAGGAGTTCTGAAGCATTGATCGAAGCTCGGGTTTGGTCCATTGCATCAGCCAGACGCCGAATGCTAGATGCCACTGCTAACATTGCCTCTTGAAATGCATCTGAACTTCGAGGTCTTTTAAGAGGTTGTCTAGTCGGATGCGGAGGAAGAGGGTCTTGACCATTTTCGTGCATATATTCTTCTGAACCTGTGTATGATTCCGTCCCGTCTGTATCACTTGCATCTTCTGAACTTGGTAAAGGGAGCGAAACAGAGTCGTCATCGAAGTTTTTCATGTCATTGATATGGTTTCCATCCTTCATCCTAGCCCATCGGCTCGGGGCTTGATAGTTACCGCATACTATTCTAAGCTCGTCGTACATCTCAATCTGCTTTCCCCGGAATGCTTTTGCATCGGGGTGGACCTGTCCAATCATTTCAGATCTATCAGTTGTTTACAGGGCACCATATGCATTAAAAGAGATAATTGATGACAGGACGGTATACTTACAGAAATATATCTCTTCCAGAGCTCATCGCTTTCACATTCAATCATTTTCGTGTTTGGGTTCCACCAAAATCCATCTTGGCTAAGTATGTCCTTCATTACCTTGTACCTTTTCTTGATGGTCTTAAGACGATTAATGACTTTTTGGTTATTCAAGTTCAGGTTAAAACGAGTGTTAACAGCAAAGCAAGCAGCAGTGTATGCATTCTCGTTGAAACACTTGTCGATTTTGTTCCCATTCTTTGCTTGGACAGCCAAAGCTTCGATCAGACACTTATCCATTGCGATGGACCATACAACATTTCTTCCTTTATGCTTCACCTGTCTCCTCTGTCCTTGCAAGCCATACTGCTCCATTCCTAATTCAGAGAAATTAAAATTATGGGCGTAACACTTTAGAACAAGTTTGGCCACCATCTATCTTGAGCAGCCAGTGGAAACTTTTAAATGAAACATCAGTACAAATAAAGGAACAGATGATAATATCATGCATAACCCATAGCACTGTATCACTAAGCAAACTACCTTGGATAATTATGCTCATATCAGCCAGTAAAGACAGTTAAAATTACTATATGCTCAGACCCGCATCTTCAGCTGTGTTGGTTGAGACATGATTAATGTGCCACCTACTCTGTGGTGAGTTTGAATCCAAACATAAAAAAATATGAACCAAAAACCCTGATTTGAGCCCAATAAAGGGCACCTGAGGACAGTCCAATCGAGGATTGAAATGCTAAATCAATCACCCTTCATACTCACTAACACATATGAAAACCAACATATCCATCAACATAACTGAGTACTAACATTTTTTAATAATCAATTTGTTGGAAATACCATCACTAAATTGCCAAACTCACAGGACTTGCGGCACTTGCCGCAAACAAACATCAAGGAGTAGCGACGTAAACTGCCAAACGCTGAAACTCCTAATACATGGAAACAACTAGATTTTGTTTCTTCAGCAGAAGTAAAGAATTAGACAAGTAACATCAAGAAACTGCATAATCAACGATGGGGTATACATATCTCCAGTGATATAAAATAAAAGAAAAATAACTATAATACAACCCAAGAATATTCAGAATCCTTCTTCATCCTTCATTTATTTTCCCTGCCTACAAGGCATAAGCAACCTAAAAGTATTTCAAAATTGAACAATGACCGGTAAGACTTAATAAAGCCAAAACAACTCTAATAAGCTGATTAGCCCATTCGAATGAGAAGATCATTAGTGTCTTTTTTTTAAGAAGGGAACTACATGCAATTATTTCCCATGAACAGGACAGAACTCTAGACATCAGGTAAATAGGATAAGCTACCGAGTTCTTTTGTGTCAGCATCTAGCTTGGCCTAAACAAGACGAGATTACGATGAAGACCACTGATATGTTTGAGACATGCAGCCTGCGGGTGAGCTCTAGCAAATCAACTTCACTTTTATTAACGCACCGGATATTATACCTACATTGTTTGGAGGTTCTAAGAATGCATAGCTTCATGTATATAGGCAGCAATCAACCGCTCAAATAATCCGTTACTCATTTCACAGAACAAACATCGAATTCAAGACCCTATCGAATCATGAAATTAACTACAGGTATAGCAGCTAGTTAATGGCTGCAGAACATGCGAAGCTCATTTTCTACAGTTCATATTTTACATCCAAAAAGCAGCAATCCCCATGTTTCAATGTCTAACCGATTGAAAATTGAAACCCAAAGATACAATACAACACAGAGCTAAGCCTACGAACGGAGAGTGAATGTGGGAAATCAAAGCTTCAATGATAAGAATCGCGAGTTCTCAGTGGCTCAAAAAAGAAATGTAGAAATGAGCAGTGAGCACAAACCAAATAACACTCATCTCTGTTTCCGACATTGGAAGAGCTCAAACTAATTCACCAACAAAAACTACAGTATAAAATTATCAGACGCAGTAAGATTCTAGCTCAATAAGCTGAACTGCGAACACAAAAATCCACCGAAACGTAATCAACAAGAGATTGCAACAGTGAAGACGACGATAACGAGAGAGAATGGAAGTCGCATACCTCCGTAAAACGTATCGATGGAAAACGCAACTCAGATCGCCAATGAACGCGAAATCTGGTGGCGAAGAAGACGATGGAGAAGATTCGGAAGCGTCATTGGAGAAGGACAAAAGTTCTCGAGTTTTAGGGTTTGTTTGTTTTCCCTTTAACTTTTTTTTAGTTTCTGGAAAAGGGAGCACAAGAAAAATTCGAGAAAAATGAGAAAAGAAATTTTCCCAACCCCACCCAAGCACTTTCTCGAAGACCATGCGCGTCGAGAGAAAATTTGCCCCATCGGCGCTTTGACGATACGGTGCGTTTGAAGCCCTTTGAAATTGACGACGAAGATATTATTTTCTTGCTTTTTCCGGGAAAATTTCTCTGGACTTCTTTTTTTCGTTCCTTTACAATTAATTTTTTTTCCCCCAGGTGAGGCTTTTATGCGGTGCTCTGAGACGGTGTTTTGAGACACGTGTAATATAATAATAACGATAATATCACTAATAAATCATGACGTATATACACGATGTGTATCATATATATTGAATGATATCGATTGATGTTAACTGTAAACCGTTTTATCATAACTTATTTATAATAAATTAGATTGATTTTTTATAAAAAATATTTGAATGTACAATAAATAAAAGAAGATATTAAAAAAATAATATTGAATATTTTTAGTCATATATAAGTCCTTTATCATAATAAAAAATAAAGAAAAAATTTCCAAAAAATACTAAACTTTTCAATTTTGATAAAAAAATACTAAATTTTATTTTTTATCAAATAAACATTAAACTTTTTAAACGAATCTAAAAAATACTAAATTTTTTTAAGTGATACAAAAAATATATGAACTTTTATACGATTATAAAAAAAAAATTTTAGTGATCCAAAAAAATACATGAACTCTTTTCGATTGTAAAAAAACTAAATAAAATAATATGACGTATTTGCATCTCGTTGTGTCATGTCGGTCATTTTGTTTATTTTGATAATCGTAGAAGAGAAGTGTTTGTTTTGTAAAACTTAAAAAGTTTAATATTTATTTGATAAAATAAAAAGTTTAGTGTTTTTTTGTCAAAATTTGAAAGTTGGGTGTTTTTTTGGGATTTTTCCAAAAATAAATATACAAGTCCTATAGCAATAAAAATTTCTGACAATATTAAGTTTGCTCTTATTTCTTTACCAAAAAAAAGTTTGCTCTTATTTTTGTTTCGATTTAGGATAAACTTGGAAAAAAAACTTCTAAGTTTTTTTTTAAATTAGAAAAAAAACATGTGTTTAATTAGTTATTTTAAACCATTAATTATAGCTTTAAATTAAAAAAAACAAATTTGTACATTTTTTTATTGATTTAAGATGATGAACACATATAAATATACGGTGTAAGTGTAGGATTAGGGGGAGGATTATTCGAATGAGGGAGGAGAATTATTTAGTGTTTAGGATTTTTTGAGGAGATTAGGAAATATTTGGAAGAAGAAAGAATTTGAAGATTTTTGGAAGAGGAAATGAATTTTTTTTCTCTTCAAATTTGCTTGATTTTAAACTCCATACAAACACACATATTTATACTACAAACCCACACCTAATTGCATATCTAACTCACTTATTAAACACATTTTTATCTAATTTTCTTCCACACATATTCTACACATTACTAACTACCTCACTAAACTACAATTTCATCACATTTTTACACATCTTCCATATTAATAACATTTTCCATAAAACTTACCAAAATATTTAATTGATTTTTAAAATCAAATTTAATTTCAACACTCCCCCGTAAATTTGATTTTGGTGACTCCGAGCGCGCTCCTGATCCTTTCGAAATCTTCTCGTTTCAATCGCTTCGTAAAGATATCTGCAATCTGGTCATGAGACTTGACATATTGAAGTTCCACCTCCTTCTTTGCAATATATCTTCTAATGTAATTGATTCTTGCTTGATTTGGATTCCGAGATAATACGCCATCAACCCAATATCAGTCATCTCGAATTCTTTGGTAATTTGCCTCTTAAATTCCTCGAACAACAACAGATTATTCCCGGTGAAGATTAAATCATCCACATACAGGCACACAATCAACATATCTCCTCCATGAATTTTGATGTAGAGGGCATGCTCGTATGGATATCCACTACAAAAAAAACCTCAAATTCCAACCGGCAAATCCGTTGGAAAGGGTCGAAAATCCGTTGGAATTCAACTTTTCCAACGGATTTCCAACGGATTTATCCGTTGGAATATCGTCGTTAGAAATCGGTGTCCGTTGGAATTCCGTGGCAAATTCCAAACGGAATTCCAACGCCCTCATCCGTTGGAATATTTCAACGGATTTCCAACGGTTTTTCCGTGGTATATTTTCAACGGAATTCCAACGGATTTGTTCGTCGGGATATATCAACGGAAATTCCAACGGACATCCGTGGCTATTTTCCGACGGGACCGTTAGAATATCCGTTAGAAATTTTCCAACGGATTTACAACGGTATTTGCCACGGATATCCGTTAGAATATCCGTTGGAAACGCCGTCGAAATGTTACAACGGTATTTACAACGGCCGTCCGTTGGAATTTAAAATTATTTCCAACGGCGATCCGTTGGAATAACCGTTGGAAAACATAAAAAAATAAATAAAAAAATAAAATAAATATTTAAAAATAAAATAAATATTTTATTTATTTTATTTTTAAATATTTATTTTATTTTTTTATTTATAGTGATAGAATTTCGGCATGGATCAGAGATATATCACATGGACCTGGAAGAAAAGTCATTTGCTGGCCGATAATGTTCACCCGAGGATACACGTTTCACACTTACGATCATGGGATACATAAATCCACGTTCAATTACGGAGTTTGTATAAAAAGCGGGTCATCGGAAGATCCTGATTTCTTTGGGGTTCTTCGTCAGATTTTCCAACTCCAGTATCCAGGATTAGTCGGGTTGAAAACAATCATATTCAGATGTGATTGGTTTGATACAACGTCGGGACGCGGCTCACGGAAAAATCGATGGGGAGGTATTGACATAAACCCGAAACGTTCATATGCAAAGTACGATCCTTTTATACTTTCAGATCAGGCAGACCAGGTATGCTTCATTCCATATCCGAAACATTCTGCGACATCGGTGAAACGGTGACGGGAAGATCAATGGTCGGCTGTTTTGAAGATTAACCCACGAAGATTAATTATCGTGGATTCGTCGTCGACAACACAAGATCTCGATGAGCCCATGCAAGAGCAACTCGAAGATCCGGTTCTTCCCATCCGACTAGATGATGATTACGATGAGACACTTGCACTTCCTGACATAGACGACGAGTTACTTGATGATTCGTTACACATACAAGACGATATAGACGAATTCGTTTCGGACCATGATACAACTCCGGATGATGAAAGTGATGAAGATTCTATATAGACTTATTTGTTTTTATTGTTTTCATATGTATTTGTATTTTGAAAAATCTATCATATTTTTTTTATTTTTTTTAAAAAATTGTAAAATTCCAACGGACATCCGTTGGAATCCAAGCGCACCAATTGAATCGACACCAGAATTCCAACGGACACCCGTTGGAAAATTCCAACGGACGACCGTTGTAATTGTTGAAACATTGAATCCGCTGATAAATTCCAACGGATGCCCGTTACATTCTTCATTTCCAACGGGCATCCGTTG